GGCGGGTGTATTTGTGGTGCAGCAAAGAGCAGCTTTCCTTATTGTCTTGGTTTTGAAGTCGTAATTGTTATTTAATTTGTGTTGCGCTTTGTTGTAAAGGCTGTGGAATAATAATTGCATTGCTTTTTCTCCTCCACCTTAATTTGATGCATGTGTGTTTCTGGACACACCCAGAAACACACACGGTAGAGACCAACACCGGCTTGAGCTGATTTAATTTTGGTAAAAATCAGGTTGAGCTTAAGGTCACACCAAATGTGACAATCAGTAAAATTTAGTTTTAACTGTAATGTCTTCACAGTAATATACTAGGTACTCAATTCCTTGGCAGACGTGAGTACCTAGGTTGGCTAAGCATTTGACCTTTACCCTCATTCTTAGCTCACAAGGTCAAAGTTGATCTTAAAAAAAAAAATCATGGAAGGAGCTTTACAACACACTTTTTATTTTTTCAGTACAACGCCTTGACTAAAGCGCCTATATTTATCTCCAAAGGTTCAGTAAAAATAAAACTCTACTAACTTACCCTTCCTGTCGTGATCAGGTCAAATCTCCCCGATTTACAACTTAAAACACTCATAAATATTGTGTTTTACATCTGATTGCCTCAGGGCCTTATGACATCCTCCAGACTATGAACTTGAACATATAAAAGTGAAGATCACCTCTTTTATTAAATTTTGAGTGTTTTAATCAACCTAACGTCCCCCTTTGGTGATGAAAAATGTTTGTTATCGTAATTTAAGAGCTGTTAAAACAGACCAGTCAATTTTTACCGGGAAGAGTAAAGTAAGGGGGTGGGGTGCACAAAACTGGAGGCTTAATAAGTTATCATTTGAGTCGTCGGTGATGATGATATAGTGAAAGACAACACAAGAAACTAGTTCACAGGACACAGCCACTGTGCTCTATGAACCAGAATCCAGAGGTGAACCAGTCAGTGGATAAAGAGCTCCGCTGTGGAGTTCCTATCAATAAAAAAGCAAAGCAAAGGTGGCCTCGTCGTTACTTTTTATGTTGATTCCTGTCAGAGCAGTGGTTCAACCTTAAGGCTTAGAAACAAACTGGGAGGGAGACACAACTTTTATCAAAACTGTTTTTGCAAGTTCATTCAAATCACAGCAACCGTTGTCTCAAGGCACTTGACAGGTCTCTCTTGAAAATAAGATTTTTAACCTGGATAAATAAAGGACTAATATTTACTTTATATTAAAATCACAACAATCAAATGGCCCCATATGAACTAGCACTTGGACAGTGGGAAGGAAAACTGTCAGAACCAAGCTCAGGGAGGGACAGCTCTCTGCTATGATTGGTTGGGGGTAAGCAGGAAGTTTAAGTTAGCCTCCATGCTACCTGATGGATGTTTGGGTGATTTGCAGGTGACTAGAGAACTAAAAGTCATATTGTTTCATTTCTCAAAGTAGAGAGTGATAAGACTAATAAAAGCAGGAAGGAAGACTGCTAATGATTTCATTTTTGTTCTGAACTTTCTATGTGAGGTAGAATCTGTTGGCGTCTGCCTCACAGTTTTACAGCAAAACATCATCATGACACCAGTAAGACAGGCCTAAGAAATGTCTTGTCTGCTGTTAAGTGCTGCTGTAGAATTTTTTTTTTTCTTGTTTCAGATTGCAAAAGGAATTTAATAGTTTTGTAATAAGCCGAAGGATTACTTAGTTTCACTGGCTGCATGCATAAAACCCTTTAAAATGCATTCAATTGTATCGTGGTAAAAGTTGCTGCACAGTTTAGCAACACTCTAAAACAGGCAAGAAGTCTAACACTACCAAATTTTCACATCACAGAGTTATTATAGCTCAAATGTAACCAAACATCTGCATATTACAACATCTAGCAGATGAGGAACATCATCCACAAAAATGCAGTCATGTCTCTATCAGCACTTGACAGAAACACATGTTTGTAGCTGCTAGCTGCTGATTGAACGTCTTTTAGCTGTGCTTGCTCAATGGATGATGGCAAGCAAGTGGGACTCCCTCTCACACGTCATTCCATTTGTTTGTAATTAATAGACCTTAGAGACAAGTAACAAGCTCCTCAAAAGACGCTTGTTATTCTTTTTCATATTTTCTGTCATATACGGTTATAATTTTGGCTTCATTTTAAACAAGGACACATTTTTAGGCCGATGTGTGTAGAAGTAACTCCTCTGAGCCAGAATCTCTGGCGTTAAACTGCTCTAATCAACCAAAATGTCTCTGCATGATGTCATTGAGTATTCCATGACCTGTTGGCATGTGGTTGCTGGTTGTCACTGGATGAAATTGGTTGCAGAAATGTGCCTTCCATACAAACTACAGGTGACTGTGGCAAGCTGCTTGTAACCGAAACAACTGCGATGAGGTTTTTGGTGCAGCAGTGAATGGTTACCGGGGAGCCGCTGATTGGGGTCTTGGCTCACATGACTGTCAATAACCACTCATTATCAGTAAGGCAATGTTCATTTTTCCCTAGCGACCACTGGTTGCCAGGCAGTCACCAACCAGTCTCTAGGTTTGTGTGAATGAGGCAAACAGGGTCTGGCTGTGAGCACATAAGCCCCCACTCATGTGTGATTCAAACCAGATGTCTTTGTGGGCTATCTAAGGTCCTTTATGCTAAGGTTAGCATAAAGGAAGGAAGTGAGGTGAAATAGTTTTCCTAAGACAGTGAATTTGACAAAGTATAATATACTTGTTGAATGAAGCATAATGTAAAGAAGAATTATTTTGAACTTAATCGTACAATGCTACTAAAAATGAACTGGAAAAGCATTAAAAACTTCCTTTTAAAATTGTTATCTATCTACATGGTTTTCTGAGGACGAATCATAAGTTAGAGAAAATGCAACACTGTGTTAGTATCGGTGTGCTAGGACACATGTGATTCACTCTGAATTCTACAGAAATGTATGCAGGCAGAGAAAGAATGGATCCAATGGATCTAGTCCTGAATAATGTAGAGGTAATTACAAGTGGTCTTGTGGGTCATTTTTTTCCACACATGCAGGAAAGGTCTGTCTAGTTTGTTCCAAGTACAGTCTGAATCCTGGATGTGACATTTGAGGTAACCTCAGGCAAAGATGAGCCTGACTTTTGTTAATAAATAACTTAGAAACACCCACAGTATAGACAAGGAAACTTGCACCTGAGGGTGTTTGCTCAGACTAGATAAATAATTCAGCACTGGCCAAACCACACAAAGGCAGGTTGCATTGGCTGCCATCATGCTGAGGTGTATGCAAGGTTTTCTGCTGAGATCTGTTGCGGGATAATGAGAAAATGTGTCCTGTAAGTTGATGAAGTATATAGTTAATATTGGATAATTATAATTTTAAATGTTTGAATGTAGTTACAACTAGTTACAGTATGAACTATATCTAAGAAAAAGTAACATTGACTCTGAACACATCAATTTTTTAGTTACTCCATGGACTTGAATTGAAGTCTCCTCCGCTCAGTTACAGTCACTGCTCTTCTTCTTTCTCTTCCTGTCTTCTTCTTCCAGCTGTTCCCTCTAGGGGGCACAACACCGAATCATCTGCCGTCATCCTCCTTCACTACATCCATGTGTATATGAATGTTAGATAAAATGCACCTATGCGTATGAATGGGTGAATGTTGCATAGAGCACTTCAGCTACAGTAGAAAAGAGCAACATAAGAACCAGTCCATTCCATCCATTTACCGTACCAGTCCTTGCATATTTCTCTCCCACTCCTGACTTAAGTCCTTTACACACCAGACACATAAAATACATGCATATATTTTTTGTGTTAAATATATTTTTCAACTCACCCATTCTTAATGGAGCTGCTCACACTGGTATACTGCTGTGTTTGGCAAGAAGTGCACTTGTAGTACAAGTACTACTCTATACAGTAGTATACAATGACATACAAATAGTAAAATAGTACAATTTTACCTCCGTACAGCTAGATGTTGCTACAAGTTGGCTCCCTGAAATGATTTCATGGCCTCCTCAGATCTGGTCCCACATCTGCTAACAGCTCAAACTGCCCCACTGACATCCTGAAATATATATTAAAGCAACCATGATACAGCTTCATCTCCTGGGTCAAACTATGAAATTCTCCCTGGTCCTGAATTCTCGTGAGAGTTGGATTAATGCAGAATCCCTGTTGCTTCCTTTTCTTGTTTAGAAACATCAGATCCAGCTCATCATTGCTTAATTCTGGCATTGTTATTTTCACAGTGCGTTTTTAGAATTTGCTACAAAAACACAACACGTTCAGTGTGCGTATGTTTGGATCTGGAAATTCTGATTTTGCTGTCACTTTTCGTAAAACTTGTGTAATGGCCACCTGCTTTACCGCAGTTCTTCTCTTTCCACCTCTCATGGAAATATGGTCTCTGTTTTAGTCCCGGTCAGTAATCTTGCTGAAGGCTTTCCAGGGAGCTTTTAGACCAACCTGATAATAACTGAGTACAATAGTCCATCTTAGAAGTGATAACTGTATGAATTAGCTTTTCAGCATCATTCTGAGACAGGATATTTCTAATTTTAGTGATATTGTGCAAATGAATAAAGGTAGTCCTGCATATTTGTTTAACGTGCACACAGAAAGACGAATACTGGTCAGAATGACTCCAAGACTTCTCATACTGTTACTGTACTCTGCTAACACTGAGGTCTCTCAATAGTTTTGTTGTATACAAATATATGTATATAAAAATGCAATAATAAATTCTCTCAAGAACCTGCTAAATATTGATGTTTTATATTTTTGGTGTATTATGTTTAACTTTTAATATTTGGTCATTTCCAAAGCTTAACAGTAGCTCAAATATCAGCTGTGAGCAATTTGAACTCAATAAAAATTCATGTCATTCATGCTTTTTTAACTTAGTTTCAAAGTTTTAAATGACAGTTATGTAAAGGTTATTTCCAGAGTCATAAACCTTTTCCTTTTGGTGGGTGAAAAATTACATAAGTACGAGTGTACATCTAAGTGCTTCTCCCATTTCCTGTTGCAGGATGGCCATCCAGGTGGACAAGTTTGACTTTGAGAGTCTGCCACAGCCGGACCAAGAAAGTGTTCGCTTCAGTAACCCCAAACAGCTGGAGGAGGAGCGACAGCACGCCCAAGGCTGTCAGATCAACAGCAAGCTGGGCATCTGTTGGAGCATTATATCCTTTCAGTGGTTACATGTACTATAAAAGCATCTTTAGGGGAATTGGCCTAAAGTGAACTACAAAGACCATAGATGTAGTTGGTAAATACGCTCTACCAGTTGCAGCTAATAATCCCCTACAGTCGTGGCCATAATCACGGTCAAACAGATTTCGTCAGCATTCCTTTAACTGTTGTTGTTTGTTGATATCAGTTTGATTAGTGTTAGAGCACATCTGGACCCTTCATCTGGAGGCCTTCTGGCCAGTAGGCAACATTTTTTGCCCGCATTAGCAGATGGGGACGCTTATGGCAGAGCGCTTGCTACTCTGACACTGTGAAGTGATATATTAGTAAGTGGGAATATAAATGTGAAATTAAATTTGTGAATTGTGAAATGAGACACTTTGCCAGAGCTCTTAGTCTGCGGTCCATTAAAGATAGTGACATTGTATTAGCATACCTACTCTGCGAGATTTAATTAGAAAAGTTTCCATTTGTAGTTTTTTCAAAATGTGTGAGTATAGCATGTGGATAAAACACAAGCGGGAATGGTTGGCAGTGATCTGATTGTGCCTAACATTGTTTCATGAAAGCACCATCCAGAGTGCTTATCCAGCTGTTAAGTGATGACGGCCTGTTTACAGCGTCCTGCCATGCGATTGCGTTCGTCCCTAACCATCGTGAACCCTCAAGTTAACTTCATTGAGCAGAAAAAAGTTGGCGTTCACCAGCTTCACTGTGTTTATATTATGCTAAACACAGCTCTGTAGCTAGCATGTCATTATATTCCTGCTAGTCAAACTTCAGTAGCCCTACAAACATCACTGCTGTTTAGTTTTCTGTCTTCATTTATGTTGGAAGTGACAGCAGAACTGTATGTTTTAATTTTTCAATATTCCCTCAGTCAGAACATGAACTGTCATAGATGGAAACTAGCGAGCTAACTCCCTGCTAACTTCTAACTCTGTTAAAAATCATAAATTCTGTTTTCATGGATGACTGGATGTTAAAATTAATTGTTACACCTGGTAGAGCAGCAACACTGATCATTTTATTACAGATGAAAGAATTTAGACAGTTTGTAACTGTCAGTGATGCTGCAGTGTTCGTTTGACTTTGGGACCTGAAGCGGAGTTTGGACCTGGAAACGGTTAATGACGTCAGACTTAAAGACCAGATAGAAGTGTGTTAGGAGGGGTTAACGTTTTGGCTCATGTGTTTCGTATCTGTTGTTGTTCTCGATGTTGAAGATGTTTTTGATTTAGCAGATATAGACTATCCCCAAGTCAGGAGTTCTATTCTATATTAAATTCTCTATGTGGAAAAATTGAGTTTTATCGAAAGGTAGAAAACCTTTTTAAGCTGTTTGCCAACAGACAGCTGTTTGGACAACTGCTCATCTTTTGCTACCTTGGTACTTGATTTCCTGATTCTTAGATGTTCTGCTCAAAGAGCATCCAAATGCAGATGTTTTTTGGGAAGACTGTTCTAATAAAAGAAAATTTTAGTCCAGAACTTAGTAGTGAGACTATACATATTAGAAACATGGAAAACTGGGGTGGTGAAAGAAGCATAAAAAAAATAACTAAAGCTGCTCAGGTAGCTTAACAGTGTTGAGGAGCGCACACAAACTAAATAAACAAGGAGGAATGGGTGAAATGAGCCAGGGCTGGTTAGAAAAGCACAAAAGTGGGAACCCAAAGCAAATAAACCAAAGGCAGTGAAGGAAAATCATATTTTCAAAATACAGCATAAAGCAGTACAATGAATAAGGCTTAAGACCTTTGCAAACAAAAGCTGACGTGATTACACCTTATACTATATGTATTTTAATTAACCTGCATTAGTCCACATAACACTTTCCACATCCAGACTTGAGGTTCTGGTATGCTGTGCTACATTGACACAAGTGAAAACAATAGCTGGAGCCCCGAAATTACTTCTACTGTCTGCAAAGAACTTAAAAATTTTTGCTTCAAAGACACAGGTCTGTGTAATTTAACTTTGATGAGGTTTCAGAAATTGCAAATCTGTTGCAATCTACATGCACAGAAATTTCTGTAAACTATTTAAATTCAGAATCCAGCCAGGACTTCAGTTCAGTTCAATGCAGTTTTATTAATATAGCACAAAATTATAACAATGGCCACTTTATATTTTAAAGCAAAGCCCCTACAGTGTCCTTTGCTTACAGCTAAGACATCTTCAGTTCTTTTCTGCTGCCACGATAGGGAAGCAGAGCTTGAGAGAAGTATATAGTCAGTCAGTCTGGATTTATCTTTAGTGCCTTATATCAGCTCATCACTCAGTAGTTGGCAGTACTATGCACGTATCTAAGAGCTACTGATGATTAGTGAGCATGGTAACCAGTTAATGGGGAATCCAGTCTGGGAGCTGAAAATGCTGTTTTCTATGTGTGTATGTATTTTGTTTTGTTTTTTCATGAGGGCGTAAACACTTCTATCACCATATGCATTGGTTTATCTCCCAGCACTTTGGCGTCTCTTAGGCAGGAATGAAGGAAGAAAGCGACGTATGAATATATTCCCAACAGCATTCCCTTTACTGCAACAAAAAACAAACCCTGAAGCAGACTGTTTGAACATATGTTACTACTGTTGTTTCTTTTTTTGTTTTTAAGTGTGAATAGCATGTATCATGTATGATATATTAGTCAGGATGGTGTCAACAGGAGATTGACCTATAAGAACAAGCCAAAGAAAAGGATTTAGAGGCTTTGCAGTATTGATCTAATTGGAAATGAGCTACACCCCCGGGCTGTAGAAATTAAAAATGTGACATTTTACCCTTTCAACCTTCATTATGGGTGGCTTGTGTTTGAAAATGGCTCATTAGGGTACAGTAGAACTGGTATAGAGTCTGTTACTAATTCAGTGCAAGCGACTCAACTGGCTGTGCGACAGATGCCACATTATATCATCAAGTCAAACCTTGATGCTATGATTTTCTGCACACTGAAACACATCCTTGTTGATAATGACTCAGCTGCTAAACTTGTCAGAATAGCACAATGTAAATTCTGCTTCAGGGTAGATTTTCCTTTTAACAATATGAAAAATAGAGAACTATAAAATCTGATTACACTGCATGTCACACTTAGACACAATTATTTGGCCTTGAGCAACTAACAGTCACTTTAATTTGTAATTTATGAGCTTGTTGATGGTGTTTGGTACTGATTCACAAAGAGTGATTCTGCCACACGCAGTACAGATGCCATGAAAAGTGGAAGAGGTAAAAAGCAAATGCTATGTGTGTGTCTTCCCCCTGAGGAGGTCATAGCCAAGTCCATGAGTCATCTCTCAATGCACAGTGTGGACGTTCCCCTCTCAATAGCGAGCTTAAAAAGCTCTGGATATGTACTCATTAGTTATGATTATATCAATAATTACTATCAATTAATATCAATATACAATCTGACTAAAATGCATGTATAAAAATAAAAAAGTACATACATATAAGGTATGCAAAAAAGTTCAGAGGTTCATAAAAGTCAAAAACTTGATCTGGTTGAAACTTAGTTGATTTCCCATTTAAGATAATCTTGAATGTCCGCATGGATTCCAACACTGCTTCTTTTTTTTTTGATCACTCCTTGAAAGTCTCCCTCTGACATTTGCACTGTGCACTTTGATGTTTTGCTGTGGACTCCAACTTTTGTAACATCTGCTTAAAACTGACCTGAAATTGTGTGAAGGATCAAAAATGACTTGCCAACTAAATCTAAGCAGTTTTCAGTTGAAGGGCCCATAGTTTCCAATCAGGAATGCAGAGCAGGAGCATGCTCGTCATTTTATTCGGCATTCACCAGGGTCTGCTCCGTAAACGGAGTGAGAATGTCAATGTGGATTTTTGTCCCGAGTCACCTCGGGACAAAAAGTTATAACATTCAGTAGAAATCACATGAATTATGTTGTGTCCCAGCATTGTGCTGTATCAGAGGGTAGGAGCAAAGTGCAAGAGGGTTTTTTTTTTCTTCTTCTGTAAAATGATTTATTAATAGCAGAATAGCTAAAAATGGTCCAGAGGTGCATGGATGCATCAGATAAGCCTTAAAAATTCATTATTGACCTGTTCTCTGAACTTTTGATTAAACTTGATGTACGCATACAGTTATTTGAAAAAGTACAATTTCACATGTTCTGTATTTTTGGTCGCTACTATATCTTAAATTCTTAAAATATTTGTTAACTCAACATAGTTCAAAGTTCAAAACTTGGTTAAAAAGAATGCCAATATTCATGTTGACTTGAAATATACATCTTTTACCAGAGCAATTTAGGACTAGTTTTAAATTGTGATAAATCACCTTCACTGCACAGCTGAACTGCTTAGGCAGGCTGTTTGTATAATTCATCAGTCAAAGCTCAGCTCTGAAGGTCTCCCGGAATGTCTGGGCTTATCCAATAAGAAGCTTCTTAAAAGCAGAACAATACAGATTCACAAATTAAAAGCTGAAAAGTCACTCTTTCAGCTCAAAGTAGGATCAACCAATTTTCCAAGCAACACTCTGGATTCCTTTTTATTTCAACTGCATAATAGAAATGTGAAATTGTTTAGAACTATCCAAATTAATCTGGGTAATAAATAGAAAAGTACCAAACCGTGAATGGCTGTTGACAATAAGTATAGACAGCTGACACGCATATTAATCATTCGCACAAGCGCCGGTTTTCTCTGAAATGGCCTGTTGAATGTGATGTTTAGTGCCCACAAATATACTGAATATAAAATAGCAAAGGTGAATTTGGAAGCCACTCCAGATACGAGTTCTGAAATACGCTGCTCAGAAGAATTCAAGGAACACAGATCTCTACGGCGGGGGAAAGAAATTCTAAAAATCTATGCTGATATGGACTGGGTAATGTTTTAGGAATGAAAGGATGCCACAGCATTGATGGAAATGAAAATTATCAATCTCCAGAGGGTTTGATTCAGAGATACCCTGAGTGCTCCAAATGAGATGACAGAAGGTGTCCCTGGGGATATCCTC